AAAGTACAAAGGAAATCATTGACATCAGTGGAAATCAGTCCTGCTCTGGATTTAAAAAGAAGCATCAAATCGGCAATTTCTCTGCGAAATTCAAGGGGAAGAAGATTGGTTCTGGCAAGTCTCTGTGTATATGACATGTCTGGAGGATAGTTCAGTATAAATTTAGTTGCCCGCCGCTGGACGTTTTCAATTAGGGAACGATACTTAACTGTATACGGTGACCACAAACTACTGGCATACTCAAGTTTTGGCCGCACAAGAGCACAGTACAACAATTTTCTGACTTTACAACAATTTTCTGACTTTTCTGATCTTAGCTAGCCTAAACAAAAATTTGATCACAGCTTGAAAGAGCATCAAAAAATTAGTAATATTCCAAACTTTCTTTGCAAAATGTTGTAAAATGCAGATAATATAGCCTTGCGAAGTTTGTAATTTTCAGTCATTTTGTATTATGCACAGAAGTGGTAACCATTTCCCGTTTGTATCTAAAATGACTGAAAATTGCAAACTTTGCAAGGCTATATTATCTGCATCTTACAACATTTTGCAACGAAACTTTGGAATATTACTAATTGTGTGATGTTCTTTTCAAGCTGTGATCAAATTTTTGTCTGAACTTGTTGAGTTCAAAATTTAGATTAATTGGGGAATGATCCATTGAAATCGAATTGCTAATAGATTATATTACTGTTGTTGTACTGTACTTGTAAAATAAAAACTTATGAAGTGTCATTAAATAAATGCATAAATTTTTCTTTATGCACTCGCGTGTGCAGTAATTTTGACAGTTGTGCTATTTTAAATTCCCAGGCACCAAAAATCTTTTGTCCTTAAAACAGCGTCGATTTATTGGGAAATTCCGAGGTTGCCTTTTTTTATACACCCTGTATTGAAGTAATCTACAATCTTGGCCAAAAGTTCGTAGAACGACAAAACAAATTCGCAACTTTTTAATATACTTGTGGTTTAAAATCATATTACACCTCCCCCCGCTCGCCCCATTCAATGTTGCTAGCCCACATTTCTAGTACACATATGCAATTTTGTCTGTACAGTATGTCAGATCATATATATACACGAAACGGCAACATTGAATTGGGGGGGGGGGGGAGGCCTTACAAATGCATATAAATTTATCGTCGTCCTACGGTTTATGGCCAAGATTGTCCGAAAATTATGTTTTTAATCTTGACATAAATATATATAAAATAAAAAACACCAGTTGTAGAAATATTCAAAAATGTACTTATGTTTTTGTATTACTGGATAACACTTCAAAAGTCATTCTGGTATTCCTAAATATTGAACGATAGGTAGACAAACAGAATTGCGACACTTATGCCAACATTTAAAAACATTTTATTTTAGACAGTGAAATCATATATGTTCGCTTAGCTCTTGTTTCATTGAGTACTGTCACTGAGTACTGAGTGTCACGATACAGAAAGCCCGGCGGCCCACACGTCTATTACATATTTATGATTTGCAGCGTATTATTATATCACAATAAGCTCTTGCAACTACTCTTTGTTATGTAAAATAAAGTAGAAAATTTCTGTTGTTTACATTACTTGCGCAAATTCATATATGTTCGCTTATAGCTCTTGTTTCATTGAGTATACTGTCACTGAGTACTGAGTGTCACAATTAATACAGAAAGGCCAGCGGCCCGCACGTATAACAATTACATACCGATTTGCAGCATATTATTATATGGCAATAAGCTCTTGCAATTACTCTTTGTTATATATAAAATGAAGTAGAAAATTTTTCTTGTTTACATTACTTGCACAAATAATTCTCAATTATCTAAACACATTGGCTTAATTTCAATCTAATATCGTATAAATTGCCTTCTTTCAAGAATGATTGGAAACACATATTTTATAGGAATAAATCTTGTTTATACAAAAGCGTTTGAACTTTGATTGTACAACTTCTACAAGAGTAAGACCATGATTGTCTTTATATATAACAAAGCAAATATAACTTGGGCAGCTTAGCAGAGCCACCTTAACTAAAGATGTAAATAATATGCACCAACACATATACCAATCGTATTTCATATTTTTATGCAGAATAAATTAGCACAAGTATCTTGTACAAGGTTAAATGCATTTTTCATGGAAATGAACATGTAGCAATTTTCAGACAATCTTGGCCAAAAGTTCGTAGAATGACAAAACAAATTCACAAGTTTTTAATATACTTCGGGTTTAAAATCATATTACACCTCCCCCCATTCAATGTTGCTAGCCCACATTTCTAGTACACATATACAATTTTGTCTGTACAGTATGTCAGATCATATATATACACGAAACGGCAACACTGAGTGGGGGGGGGGGAGGGGAGAGGCCTTAAAAATGCATAAAAATTTATCACAAACACAA